AAACGAATTTAGCTCGTCCAATAGAATTTGTAAAACTAAATAAACGTAGAAAAGTACTAAGTATTTTACTAACAAAATGACACATAAAAAATACAACACGCTTAAGGTATTAAGAGTACCTAGCTTTTTATAATCCTTACTAATATCATAAATGCGAAAGTAACTCTGTCTGTCTGTCTGTTACTCATTCACCAAAACTACTGAGCGGATTTGGTATACAGATGGTCTAGACCCTGAGAAAGAACATAGGCTACTTTTTATCGCGAAAAAAGAGGTTGTAAGGGGTTAAAAGGGGGGGGTGAATGTTTGTATGGAAATTCGTCGTTTTTACCGAGAACAATGAAATTTTCTTCTTTGGCTTTTTGGGAATAGGAGTAGGAGTGGGAGTGGGAATGAGAGTGTAAGTGAGAGTAGGAGTGATGTGAGGTGAGAGTGTTGCGGCAAAGTAGCACTTATTGGCTGCGATAAATGCGCAATTAAGTACATAAATTAATAAACAGCCTAAATAATTAAAAATTCTACCCCAAGTCACTATTTCACAGCTAGTGTTATTATAAAACATACCTGCTTTATTCATTAAGGAATGCGAAACTATATTTTTTTTATATGTTCGGATTTTTGTAAGTATTTGCATGCATAAATTCCAAATTTAAATTGAATGACGAGAGAAAGGAAAGTTGCGTGCATTTTCAGAGGATAATCAGACACATAGCACGTACTTACGAAAGCCTACGTGCACTCACCAATGCACTCTTAGTGTGTTAAAAATGACATCGAGTTTTCTTATTAACTAAATGTAGGACCGCCTGTGTGGTTGCGTTATGCGTGAGAGGCTCTTTATGAGTTCCCGACGAAATATTTTCCAATTAATGAAATCGGGAAACGGACGGACTAAAGCGGTCGCCCTATGCTCTACGTAGGTGAAACGTCATTAACTATATAATTATAATATTGATATACTACGAGAGCGGGTGACGTAACATTTCCACGTAAACAAGGTTCAAAACCATCAAAAAGTAAATTACAAATGAAATTAGGCATAGATTCTCTGCACTTATATAAAAGGCATAACTCAGCAAATAAATGTTTCGATAATAGTGCTGAGACATTTATTATTTATAAAAGCATTTGCTTGCGCAGATTAAAAGTAAAGAGAGGTAAGTGATTTGCATGCTTGTGAAAAAAATTGTTGTTTGTGGCTATTCCTAAACGTTTACGTTATTACATACTCGGATTCGTTTTAAACAAGTATTCAACTTTTCAAAGACGGCCCCACTGGTATGCTAATTATGGCATTATAAAAGTGTAAAACTGAGCTGTCTGTCAGAAAGAGATCTAGCTTATAAAGAATATATATTTTACAAAACCAACTTCAATCACAGTGTCTGAATGCGAAGAGTATGGTATTGATTGGGTGTCATCACAACAATACATACTACATCAATCATTGAAAACAGTTAGCCAATTAAAATAATAATTAACAGTTATTATTCACTGTATTTCACATAGTGTATTGAAATATGGGAAGGTTGCAAAACAATGCTCGCTGGATGTGACAAAAACACTTTGAACAGAGTGGGTACTACCTAACACAATGTAAATTATTATGAATGTATATGCAGAGAACAGGTAGAATACTGTTCGTGATATAAAGCTTTACACTATAATTAAACTGAAACTAAAGTTACAGTTTGAGCCAATGTTTTCATGTAAAATATTATAATTTCTACAACACAGAGTTACTTTCAGCTTCTAAAAGATTATAAAAACTGTGGATTTATGCTGTTTTCATATTTTTAAGTAGTGCTAGGGTTTGTCTTCTCTGATTGTATATATATATATATATATATATATATATATATATATATATATATACATGTACACAGCACAAAAGTACAGAAATTTGTAGAAAGTGGAGCAGTAAAATGTATAACTACCAGAAGTGCATGTTTATGGGCCAGTAAATCAATTTAAGTAATCAGCCGTTGCATGTTCTGGAAAACATTAAAATTTGTTAGTTTTTATTTTACTTTGGCCGTAAAGCCAAATGAGGTCAAATGTGGGTAACTTTTTAAATTTTGTATGTATTTCTTATGATGTACCTACTTAAAACTGATGGTGTTAAATTTTTGGTTATTGAAGTGTGAATTTAAAACACATTATATTGTAAATCTACATCTCATAAAAACATAAAGTACTTCATGAAGTGTTATACTTTAGTTTTTATTAACTATGAATAAGAAAATTACAATCAGTTCAAAAACATTGCTTCAAACTATAAATTTGTACATTTAGAACCTTTAATCAACTAGATATTTGTGAAATGATTTTAGTAAAAAAAGGAAGCATTATGTTATCTAAGACATTTTTTTATGATTGTAAAGGGTCAGAGGGTATAATTTTCATAAGAATAGAACATAAGTAGCGTAGGTAAGGTATTGCCTACGCTACAATTTTTTTTTACTATGATATATTAAAATGTGTTAAGTGCAAGTATTGTCATATAAGGCGTATTTAAAAAACTTTTCAATCGATTTTTTTAAAGGACTGCATCATAATGTGAACAGCTGCAAACGACCGGCGATAAGACAACTTTAGCCACGCTATAAAACTACCCTATTTAGTCAAATAGGTTACGTACCAACAAAGATAAAACAAATTCACATGTAAAGTAACACACAATATAAATTACTTACGTAGAATCACCAATATCATCCAATAACAAGCATAATTACACCCAAAGAAGAACTATCACTGAATAAATAATCATCACAATTGAACACTAAACATTTTTTATGCCTTCTATAGCAATATTGCACATATGACTTCAAAAACATCGATAACTCATAACATATAGCACAAAAACACATACACTAAGGTAAAATAACGATTAATACTACAGTATCACAATGAAAATAACAGTACAGCAAATGAACGCGTAAGAGTTTCCTACTCGTCCTTGCGTTCACGTAAATTGGCAGCCATCTTGAGTTCGTGCCTGTGGTTCATACGAACAGCGGTGAGCAAGACTAATAAAGTTGCCACATACAAATAAATGTCGAAGTCTAAATAGAGAAAACTGACAGCAGATTTTAATTTACACAGATTAAGGTTTTGTGTTGCGGTTGTCATAATGACATAGACATTGACGACACAGTGTCTGTCAGCTCTCTTCTTCTTCTTACTTTGATGGGTTTCCCATCTAAATGAATTCTGCCAATGTCATATAAATATATCATGGGAGGAATGACAAAGCGTGACAATATGCAATATAATTATTTTTGTTTTATTTTTATATCACTCACAAAAAAATGACGATATTTAAAATTACCTATATTAAAAAAATGTTTTGTTTTTTTGGATGAAACCAACTAAACAAACTTGGTTAATGATATGTATATTATATGCTAAGTGAGGAGACAAGAAGCTATCTTGTAAAGTGCAGATTATATTGCATACAAAGTAAAACAAATTAATGACGATAGAAATAGAAAAAAAAGTCATGCTTCATTGATTTATGCTAATAAAAGGAGAGAGAAAGAGTATTTATATAATCTTACGTATACCTACGTCTATATCTTTGCGTGCAAGTAGATTCTTGCTAGCTACATACATGTGCATTGTTATGTATTCAGATAGTTCTAGCTACATTTCCAAAGTAATTCATGACGATTTTCAAATTAAATCTTTAAAAAAGTATACATCTTTAAGTCACACTTAGGTTAAAAGAAGACTGAAGACTTGCGATCATGAAAAACATTGTGTCAAGTTGTATTAGAATCGGTTGGAGTTCTCCATGAACTCTTTCTTTCTTTTTCATCATGAAGGCTTTTATTTATTTATATCCGAATATTTAGCGTGCTTGAACACTTAGCTTTTTATCATACACCTATTATTCAGTGAACTATAAAATATACATCTAAGTTTTTGGTTATCTAATATTGTCTGTCTGTCTAGTATCTATACCAGCTGCCTAACGTCCTAGTAGGCTAATATTGATTAATAACATATGCAACATTAACCCACGAAACTCGTAAAGGTTTTACGGCAATATGTTATAATATTACGAAATAAGAATAAAATACGAATAAAGAATAAATATATACGCAATTATACACCTAAGACATGTATTATAAAAAAAAATGTTTCATTCAATTTTCAACATTCTTTGCACACCATTTTCGACCGTCTTGAATTAAGAATTATTGTAATGTATATTATTTTGTAACCCTAACAAAGATGTATGCTTAATTTTTTGGACATATGTATAAAGGAAACAATTTTTCAGTGATTGTAATCAAGTTTTATTTCACAGTTTTCACACATATTTTCATATTATAACGGACCATAGATCCTACTCTTACATAACTTAGGGATAAAAAGAATATTTGATTAGTTGTAAATAAAAATAATGTAAATCAGTAGAAATGCATAGTTGAATACATTTTTTTTGGTTAGTTTGAAGAACGAAGTAGTTTATCACAAAGTTATTAAAACAATCCTTCTAAAACGAAGGAAATCGTTATTGGATAATCTTTATAATAATTAGTAGTGTGAATTTAAGCATACACTATTGTTGACTAAGTGTGTATTACTTATTTACAAATTTACACTTTTGTCACAATTATGTGTACAGAATCGACACTACTATAATTATTACGTATTTATTAAAAATATAATTATTGGGTAATCCAATAAGTACATGAAAGCCAGTTAAGGCTGTCTTTTTTATTGTCAAATTAATTAACACTAAAATATGTACTGGAATGGGTATTGATCATTCCAAAATGCAATTATTATAGTCATACTTGACTAGACAGTCACACACTACAGTCTGTGTAGTAACACTTCACACCGCTACACAGCTTTGTTGAGTCTGTGGTGGGTCATCTTGAAAGCTGTTTCCTGTTCCTCACACAACCAAAATGGCGAGCGTTCAACACAATCAAGGGTAATCGAAATTTCGTTCAGGGTTCGACGTCGGTGTTTGGACGTTTGTTTCATTTAATTATAACGCCCGTACTCTTCTGGTATTCTACTGGTAGAAAAATATGCATCAGCTTCTCTATTTCACAGCGACATAGCGGACACCGGTTGCATCTATAACAAAAAGTAATAAGTAAGTACACGGTTTTACAGCTACATACTAATTATCTTAATTGGGACACTCTTTAATTAAATTGTTTTCACGTAACAATCAAAACATAACATATATAATAAAATATATACCTTGGAGCACAGTTCTCGCAGCAAACGACATGTCGGCAAGGAAGAAATAGTGTGTCCATAGCAGCATCCATACAGACGCGACATGCTAGGCCAGAACCACTGCGTGATCGCGACCGGGACTCCTGAAATAAAAAAGATTAAATAATGAAAAGTGTCTAGCAAGCAGCTTTATATATTTGTACCTTTACCTACATATAAGACTTAAACATTTAGAATACAAGAAAGTAACATAAGTAACTTGATTATAATGCTTTTAAGTATTTTTAAAGTAACTTGATTTTTACTGTCACTGTCATTTATTTTAGAGTAGTTTGACAAGTAGTTAAGATTGCTTAGTAAATCTGACATAATTTATTTATTATACAACAACTAAAACGGTAGTAACCAGTTACGTTGGATAAATATTGTCTACTGGAAACTATTATTAGGAATAATGATAGAATTTGTACCTGATCTCCAGTCCCGGAAGCTGATCGGCGTCGGCTCCTGGGCTCGTGTTCGCTACGCGCATGCGCCTCACGACGAGCACGGTCGTGGACCTCTCGACAAGTCCTACGTATGTCGAAAACGTAGCGTCTACCTAAAGTCGTCGAGTCGTTAAATATGGACGCAATCGTACCCTGTAAAGAAACAGTCATCTATTAAAAATATACCAATATTTCTGCATTTCAAGATACGTGAAATCCATTTCTATGTAAATTTGTATATTTTATGTAGTAATGTTAAAACGTTATATTCAGTAAGAATGAAAGTAAATATTTTTCGTATAGGAAGTATGTACAGAAAAGAAAAATGTTTGCAATGAGATCACTTTATCTAAATCGAGAACATTCAAAGATAGTAAGATTAAGATATCATTTTAATAATAATAAATATTGATTAATTTAATTATACTTTACAACACGTTGTAAAGTATAATTAAAATGGGCATTTGTTAAAAATCATCCACTGTGCAAATAATGTACAAAAATATGATGGCTTGTCCAAAACTCTCGTATCCCTTGACATAATAACACAACTATCACTACAAAATCTAAATTAATATATGAGGATCCTAGAGGCAGAGTGGCCTATAATTAAAAACACGATTTTCAACAAGAAGAAAAATATAAATGCGCAAATCATGGGGATTGTGAATTTGTACTATAGTTTGTGTAAGAATTATGTTAACAATTTTTGGTCACTGTGCTCCTGTAGATTAACATTTTTAGATTATGAAAATAGAAATAAATCATGTCGTAAAATTGCTACTCTGCCTCTAGCGGCCTCATATGCACGACTATTGTGTATAGGTAGCGTATTTAGTACAATTACCTTCAGATCTCTAATGAACTGTTCAGTGACATCGCTCCTCACTGTTTCGCAGCAGTAAAACGCATGTTTCTCAGTGACGGCTCTGTACAAAGCCGCCGCTTGGCCGGACGTGGCCATCTTGACATGAAATGTTGCTTCGTTGCCTTCCTCCGTGACGTATGAAAGTTGGAATATCCTGCGCAGTGGCTGGGCTCGGTGGATCGCCGTGTATGGTATACTGTAAAGACGAAAACAAACTATTAAAATTTATATATAGGTATTGTTACTAGATGATACTTAAAAGGGGTCCAGTAGAACGAGAATTAGTCGTCATCCTCATATTTGATATATTTCTTCTGCAAAAAGATTATGCTATGCTGTGTAAACAATGTAAAGAAAGGAAGATTTCTGTAACCGGTTTAGTTATCGAGTCTATAAACACGTGGGGGATAAAGCTTATTAGTCAGGCTATACCTGGAATCGAAAAGAAGGACGTCTTGCATCTATGCTATGAATTCAAGGCAACGTATGTATTAAACTAAAAAAAACACAAGTGGACGAATAAATTGTAAGATGATTAAAATTGCTTTCCAAAGTTAGTATTAACGCAAAATCAGTTTAAAATTCACACTGGCGATATGGATTTATTTTGCAAGTCAATAAGTAATCAACAGTACGACCTTATTTTGTATTTTATTGAATTGCGTACACAATAGTGTAACTGCGTCGAATTTAAAAGAATTTGATTTTGTGATTATAGTATATTTGCTTGTATGTAAATTTGTTTAATAATGCAAATTTCTAAGACCCGACCACTTAATTCTAATAAGTAGTAACCTGTTAAAACGAGCATATTTTACGCGGCTAATTATAATTATTTTATTAGTGTTAAACTAGTTATGTAGATGTAACTCCGAGCTGTGCGTATGTACTTATGACTGTTTAAATAACGTTGTTTCTGTTTACAATCTTGAGATCATTAGGACAAGTAAATAAGGATATCACTTATCAGGCGCAAATAGTGTAAGTATATTAAAAAAATATACCTAATGAATTAATAGTGAAAAAGTGAGTATTACGTTAAGATCCTTAGAACATAATGTTTTAAATAATATTATCATTAGAACGTTGAATCTAGAGCCGCTTGCAAAACTGATAAGAGAAAGAAAAACAAGGTAACGTACTTTCTATCTATTTAGAACGTGATAACATAAGATTTGCCCCTTTTACGAGTAGATGAAACACTTTAAAAACAAATAAAAGTACAGATTAACAAGAACGCTGCACAGTTGTTTTTGCAAATTTAACTTGGGTACATATAGGAACAATTATATGTTCTTGTTTACCGAGTGGGTGTCGTAAAATTTACATATGAACCGCGCGAAATACCTACGTTATGAACTTAAATAGATATGCAGTGTAAACAAGCAAGGTGACTTTAGTTAGCTGATGCTACAGAAAACTTCGGACCGCCTCGAAAACTAAAATGAAGAGTGGACGATAAATTTATTTATAAAATCACGATAAAGTTATCTGACATTGGCATGTTTACTGCAATAAAGATTTCATCAACAGATTTAAATGATAATAAATCCACTGCAAAGATTTATGCCTTCAGTCCACTTAGCGACAACAATACAAACAAACGGAATATAATAATACCTTTAATATAATAATAGCCTTTCGAGATTTTTTGCAAGAAGTCTACAAGTCCTCAACATCTATTTATTTATTCTAATAACGATTACGTAATAAGATCTTACCTCTGTTTTTCAACTCCAATATCATGCTCTCCGTTGCATGCCGGTCTGTACACAACTATGCCATGTGGTCCGACGCCCACACACGTACTCAGCCGGCATCCACAGCCCCCAGCACTCTGCCCGGACGTGAGGCATCCCACAGTAGCGCCTCCATCAATCTCTTGATCATCCCTCGCTCTCGGCTCCTCCGCTTGCTGTTTGTGATACAATAGGTGGCAGTACAGGTTATGCGCATTATTGCTTTGTGTCACCGGTTTGCAGAAGAATAACTCTTCGCCGAACGATTCCAGTTTAGATATCTCTTTCAATAGCCGATATTCCGCCTGAGACGCTCTCATGCCAGCTATTTCACAGTGATATTCAATGATTTTGTCGACATGATCCTCTGACTTTTCACCCTGAGGTCCGATCTTGTTACATTCCTCGTAGACGTGGGTGGGCACGTCAGGGTCGCAATCCCCGGTCTCGGCTTGAGCTATGTAGGCTATGAGGCGCCTCGCCACTTCTTGGTCGGCTACGACTAGTCTGCCTTCGATGAGATCCAATTTAGCGTGGAGGTAGAAGATGTGGCGGGTCTGTTCATTGATCAAGAGATGAGGTGGGACCCAGAACTTGACTCGCAAGTCGAGTCGTCCGCCAGGGATGCGGTGTGGATCAAGGGGGTTCCGGAGATTGAGCCATCTCCCGGGTCCTGATCCTGAGCTGACGTGAAGTCCGAAGTAATCGGCTTCTGCGCCGATTTCTAGCTTCTCGCATACCTGGAAAAATAGGAAGGTTCTTAATAAGGTCAGAAATTTAAGTTTTACTGAAACGATAATACCTATTCTGTTATAAAGATCTATTTAGCAATTTATAGTCACTAATTATATATTTGGTATAGAAAGATCCGTTATGAAACTTCGAGAAAGTTGTTGATACGAGATCAATTATTATTTTCTCCTTTTAGGTCAATTTAATTCGCCATATAGTTTGAAAAAATAACGGAATGTTATTAGTCTACCACTCTACAGTGAAAAATTAACTGAAGTCTGAACAATATTTAATATAATGGGATTTTAGAACTGTGAAATTTAATGGGTAGGTATACCGTATATATTAACACTATAAGTAGGTATTATTACTACCTAATAGAAATTATTCACAGAATAAATATTTTTCACGGTAGAAGTGGTTACGGCTCGCAGCTGTAATACACGCAGGAATAATTATAAACTATACATTTTATTACAATATGAAGTAAACAACTGCAAAGTTATGTAGGCTTTTGCGCAGCGCACAATATCAGTGTGCATAGCTGTGACTTGAAATGATAAAGATAAACAAAATTATAAATGTATCTAGCAAAGGTGTTTCAGAAGTAAAGTGAGAATAAACAATTAAGGGGTATTTTTCATAAGATTAAGTGAATTTCGATTTAAATGCTGTCGATAATTTACGAGGACACATTTAAATGAAACACTTTAATGGTGACCCCCGTGACCACGGCCGCTTCAAAGCATCCGAAACGTCGGGCCGTAGTCAAAAATAAAGTTTGTTGTAAGTGTTTTATTTTAATTTCGTTTTATGTAAGCCGTGAAAACTTCATTGGTTCACAACAAAGGGATGATGCGAGATGTATATCATTATAATTGTATGTACAAACACTGAGTGTACACTATTGTGCAAATAACAGTGTTTTTGTTCGACATGTTTACTATGTCTCAATAAGTTGACACCGACCGATAATAATACAATGAATATGGTTATCAACTTTCAAGAGCTGTTTTGATAGGTATTACGCTATTGCGCTGTAAAATTATTTCCAACACAGCGGCAAAAACATATAAATTCATGCTCATTTAATTCCGAAATGAGGAGACACGTGAAAAATATTTTTTCTTTGTTTTAATTTAACCTCTGTCTATGTGTGAATAATGTCCGTGCAATTAGGTTTTTTCGTTATGACTAAAAGGAAAATAATAAGTTGGGAGGAATTCAAAAGTTAGTCGGGGGGCCGTGAAGCGTGGCAATTTAGAAATTTCGGAATAACCGATGATAAACACGATGACTCAGAGAATAATAAAATTTCAGCCTTCTTAATTAACGGTCCATTCATATGTTTACAAACAGTGCGCGCTACAGTAATAGACTCATTAAATTACGAAATGTGGGCTGGACTTGTTAGTTATTATTATCGCGAATTTACGCTTTTCTTTTTATTTTATGCCGATAGCGATAGTGATTTGTGACGTTACTTTAATTATGCAAGGTTCACATTTCATACAGCGTATTGGATGTATTTAAAATGTGGAATAAAAAAAAACAATACTGTTTTAAATTGTATACAATCTAGGCAAGGTACGAAAGACGGTCGCCTCTGTTCAAGAGTTCTGAGTTCGAACTTCGAATCGTATATTAGGAGGTAGGACACAGAAGTATAATTACGGGTCTATAAAAATAATCGTTCCGTGTGCCCCGCAAGCATAATTTAACTTAGTTATTCGCAGAATCGACACTTTTAATGGTTTCAAACGCAGAATATATTAGATCAAAGACAATACCCCCCACCCGTAATCTATCCAGAACGACAGACCGTAGGTACAAATAGGTTTAATTATTTGCCGTGTTTGAAACCGTTTAGTCTTTAACTACAGACGACAAAACAACACAAGTTAAGAGCCTGGCCAGGCATAATTTTTCATACAAGCTGTAAAAACCTAAATATTTTTAATCTAAGATTAATTTTAAAATGTAGCATGTGAATAATTAATGAGATGCAACTAACAGTATTTCAACCTTTTTTCGTTTAATTATTGATATATAAGAAATAATTGTTTCATGGAGTTTATGTATTTGAATTATCCTTCCACACTTTAAAGTCGATGATCATTCCTACGTTTGTTGAATGTACCTAATACATTACTGTACTCGTGCATTAGAATCATGCCTCCATCTCGTGTCATTATGTCAGAAATCAGAATGATAATTGTTTCTGATGATAAGAGCAATCTACATTAATAGTACCTAGTTCACATACAATGTAATGTATACTTAGTTCTGTTTTCTACGACGTTAGACACATTTAGTAATATGAATCCCCAATACTAAATGAAATACACATATTTTATTCCAGGCCAAATTTTGTATGGAGAGACACTTTAGTCTTTAACTTTCTCCCAAATACGGAGGCGCTTTCACAGAATTATTTTCGGATCGCTTACAAAATAAGGTTATGCAAACGGAACACCAACGTGTTTAACAATACATAAAAAGCAATTTACACGGGTCGCAGGTTCGATGAACTTGCAGTCCTGATTTACTCGGAAAATTATCATATTTTCCCCAACTGTAGTTATAAAAAAGTGATATAAGGTAAAAATACATTTTTTATTTTCATAAAGAAATATATATATATATAGTTGGTATTATACTAATGTATTTGGTGTTATAATAAATATGTAGTTATTAACATGACGCGGCATAAACTGAAAAAGAAAAATCAATATCATTGTGAAGAAAATAAAGTCGGCATTTCCTTGAATAATCATAATTTAATTTAAGCTAGTTATTGTTTTATTGTGTAGACTCATTTAGACAGGAAAGATCTAAAGTTTACAAGTATAAGGACATTCTATTATTTCTTATCGACGCTGTTTTTCAGTGAAATCGTCGATCGATAATTCCATCAGTTATTAAACATAATTAGAGAAATAAAAACTGCACGTCAGGCGCATCTAACAATGGGCAAATACATTTCTAAGATAATAAAATATGTATCAAATAATTATTAATAATATGGACTTTGCATGCGGATAAATGTGCTCTTTCCTTAATTACAGATAATGGAACAACTAGGAAAATAAACTAATAACAATAAATACCATAGACATTATTTCGAAAACGATTAATAAATATTATTCGTTAATCTTGACGATAATTTCTATATTTTAAATTATTATTTAACTAGATATTTTAATTGTTAATTTTATTATAGGTTTACTACTAGTTTTAACAACATATAATGCGAACAAAACCCATCTACTTCTGATGTATGAACGGTATAATATGATATAGTGTATGTCCCGCAAAGCGGATCGCATTAATGCATTTTTGATTGGGCTTTGATGGCGCCTTTCTTGTGGCAATGCAAGAATGTTTTGCTCGAGCAAATAGCATCGTAATTCTTTATATCTATCATTATCATTTTGTCGCAGCTCGAAGGCGTATTATATAATTTACGCTGCGAAATTAGTTTTATAATACCAGTAAACAATTACGTTACAGGGATAATAAATAAATATGTTATTCAAAAGAAATATTCAAATTGTACCATTAATTTTTGGCCTGAGCTAAACAGTATTTTATCCGTCTATTGAGGAAATTGCCAATACAACTGAGTGAAAGTAGCGATTTCAAATGTGCAAACGATTTCGATGCCTCTCAAAATAGATCGGCATAATCTGCTAAAACATATGCCTGGGTGCCAGCCGGCTTGTGTTTTCTTCACATCTCCCTCTAACCCGCGTGCGCGTCCCTTTCGCACCTGAGCACGCGGGCTGCACGCGTTAGATGCGTGATCTTTAACATTCAACTCGTCGGTCGACTAGTCTTTCAACCGACCGGTGTTTCTTCTTCAAAAAGTTCACAGTTGCACGACAAGTCGCCGCGAATGGGTTTAATGGTGACAAGTACAAAAATGTTACGTGTTACGCATACTTAATTGATTCATGATCATTAAATCTTATTGCTGCAAACAATGGCTATAAACGTAACACGCTTAATGATTATTCTTTTAAATACAAACGAATACAATAACAGTACGCAGGCTACTATTTACGCTTTAAGAAAAAAAAAAGCAATTTAGGTTAGTAAATTTATTTCGGCTTGTATGTACATAGTCAGCAGTGTCAGCAACAAAGAATTACCTTGGATATTATTAAATACGCCAACAACAAAGGCTTACCGGGCTTCCTAAGATGGATAAGGTCATTTGAATGTCCAAGCTAACGCTTTTTAAATTACGTTAAAGTTACATGTACAAGGCACCATTATTTACATATGGGCCCAACGATTCTTTGTTATTTTGTAATTGTGTTAAAATAAGTGTAAAATGCCTTGATAATTAGATAATTTTATTATACTACCTATAACTATAATTCCTCAGCTGCTAAAAGTAAACTATTATCTAACACCAATAAGGAAGCGGAACCAATTTTCAAAGTATTGAATTGCACACTTTTGCAAACGTTAAAACCATGATAAACCTAAGCTTATATAGATAATCTAAATATATCCACCCATAAAACTTAAACAGGTTAAAAACGAAAAACTGTAAATAAGGAAATGTTGGGGTTTAGAGAGTAAAAATTTGCTAGTAAGTACATGTTAATGAACTGATAAGTACATTGTTTAGGATTAGTGGCAACTGTCAATTTAAATGATAAAAAGGAAAAATTCTAATTACTCGGGATTAAAATATTATCTGCGACGTCATTTGTTTTTTAAAAGATAACCTCCGTCAACTTAAATATTTTGATAACTGTTTCCAATTACAGTTATTTTAATCATATTTCTTGTTCTAAAAAAGGTTTTTTTTCTAAGTTTAAAATTTGAAATCTATAGTTTTGGAGGCGGTATTGCGTGTGATAAATAAAATACAACACATTTCGTATTAGAACTTATTATTCTATGAACACAATTTCAAAGACATATACCTACCTACTTTCAATACCGGGCAACAATGAAACGAATAAATCCGTATTTTAAAAACGACGGTCAA